TCCTCTGTTGGATGAGGGAAAAATCCAGAACAAGGGGGGCATCATCTTAAAATTAGAGCCAGGTCATTTCTGGAGTAAACTAAGGGGCAGTTTTTCCACACAGAGAGTAGTGGGAATCTGGAACTCTCTCCGTCCCCCCAAAAGGCTGTGGATTGTGGATCAATTCACATTTTCGAGACTGAGGAGGAGCGATGTTTCTTAGGTCAGGGTATCAAGGGATACAGGGCAAAGGCAAATTGGAGTTTAGGTATAGATCAGCCGTGATCTAATAGAATGGTGAAACCGGTTTGAGGGGCTGAATGGCCTACTCCTGTTCCTATATGCCCCAATAAATAGTGGGTTCTCAGCTGGACAAGCAGCAGAAAGCTCACCAGTGCCTCCTGCAACAACAACTTGGATTTATATAGTGCTCTCCATACTGGGCGGCGTCTCAGAGCTTCACAGTAAGGAATCCCGGGGAGGAGCCAGGGGGAGGGGGGGAGCCAGGGGGAGGGGGGTGGGGGAAGGTGACCAAAGGCGCAGTCGAAAAGAAAGGTCTTCAGAAGGGACCTGAAAGTAGGAAGAGAGGGGGCGAGGCGAAGGGAGTGAGGAAGGGAATTCCAGAGCCTCGGGGCATAGTGGCTGAAGGCACAGCCTCCGAGGGTGGAGCGGAGGACTCGGGACGAGGAGGAGGCCAGACCCGGAGAATTGAAGTGGGTGCTGTTTTGAGGAGAGAGGAGGTCAGAGAGGTCGGGTGGTGCAGAGGAGTAGAGGGATTTGAGGACAAGGGTGAAGATCTTGAAGTCAATCCTCTCTGGGATAGGCAGCCAGTGCAGTCTGGCCAGGACTGGGGGGGTCGGGGAGCGGAGTTTCGTGCGGGTGAGAATGCGGGCGGCAGAGTTTTGAATGATCTGGACTGTATGGATGGTAGTGGAGGGGAGGCCGGCGAGGAGGGCATTAGAGTAGTCCAGCCGAGAGGTGACAGAGGCACGGACCAGGGTTTCAGTGGCTTTTGGAGAGAGGTATTTGCGGAGACGGGCGATGCATCGGAGATGGAAGAAGGCGGTGCTGGTGAGGGACCGGATGTGGGGGAGGAAGGACAATTGGGGGTTGAACCTAACACCCAGGTTCCGTACGGGTTCGGAGAGTTTTAGGGGGAGGTCGGGTAGGTGAGGAGGTGAGAGCCGTGAGATTTGAGACGTTGACGAGAGCCAAAGAGTATGGCTTCCGTCTTGTCAACATTCAGCTGAAGGACATTTGCGCTCATCCAGCCCCTGAGGTCTGACAGGCAGCTGACAGAACACTAGGGGACTGGGGGTCGCAAAGAGAGGTGGAAAAATAGAGTTGGGTGTCGTCCGCATACATGTGGAAATGTACCCCATGTCTGTGGATGACATCCCCAAGAGGGAGCATATAGATCAGAAAGAGGAGGGGGCCAAGGATGGATCCTTGGGGTACCCCACAGATAACCGGGTGAGAGTGGGAGGAGAAGCCTTTGTGCAGATGTACTACTGGCGGTTTGTGAGGTAGGACTCCAATCAGGCGAGTGCGGTCCCACTGAGGTGGATGACGGAGGAAAGGTAGGGGAGGAGATGGTGTGATTGACTGTGTCCAGAGAGGTCCAGGAGGACAAGGAGACAGAGGGAGCCCTGGTCACAGACAGAGAGGACGTCGTTTGTGACTTTCACAAGTGCAGTCTCTGTACTGTGGGCGGAAACCAGACTGGAGGGGTTCAAAGAGGGAGTGGGAGGAGAGGTGTGCGCGGAGTTGATCGGCAACAATGCGTTCTAGGACTTTGGCGAGGAAGGGCCGGTTACAAATAGGGCGGTAGTGGCTGGGGTTTGAGGGATCTACGGAAGGTTTTTTGAGGAGGAGGGTGATGACAGTAGTTTTGAGGGGGGCAGGGACTGATCTGGAGGAGAGGGACTGGTTGATGACATCAGCCACTAGTGGGCAGAGGAGGGGGAGCTCGGTGACCAGCAAGTTGGTGGGGAGGGGGTCGAAGCAGCAGGTGGTGGGTTTCATGGAGGTAAACCTGGTGAAATGTGGTTGCAGCTGGTTACATTCCAAATTCACCCAACATCTGGCTGCACAACATAGCTCACAGCCCCTCAAGGGTCAGAGCTGGTCATTGCCTTGGTTACAGTATGTTACACACACATTAATGGAATCTGGTTTCCATGGGAAACGTGGAAAAAACCAGATAAAAAAAAAGCAAATTAAAAATAGTTCTTGTGATGAGCCTGACCTGGAGAACTAGGATGTCGCATGTCTCTGTGGATCAAACTGAAAATAGCTGGAAACCAAACCAGGCGATGCTAAAAATCTCTACCTCATTTCTCCAACGCATCAAAGCGCCTTCACCAGTTACTCTCACGCTCAGTGACTTCACTTATATCATAAGCCTAATGCAGCAGCTCCAACGAGTAGCCAATGACCAATTGATCTGAAATGTTTGTGGGAAAAGAGAAGGCAGTTTTTCCAGGACAATTTAAATGTCCATAGGGACAGGAGGAGGCCATTCAGCCCCTTGAGCCTGTTCTGCCATTCTATAAGGCCATGGCTGATCTGTACCTGAACTCCAATTACCAGCCTTTGCCCCATATCCCTTGATACCCTGACCTAACAAACATCCACCTGAACCAACCAGTGCCTGTGCCAAGGCCATGTCCCTCTCAGTCCTGCCCTGTGACATCGACATCCTGACGTGGGGCTTGAACCCACAACCTTATGACCTGGACGCGAGATTGCTGCCAAATGAGCCAAGTTGTTACTCTGCTCCCAGTGCGATCACACACAAGTGATTTTTTTAAAAAATGGTCAACCAGGTGTCTGCCACATTGGGGAAACCCGTCACCGTTGCTTAAGAGTCTCCAAACCAAACTGAGAATTCCATGGATCCCACCTGCACATGGAAATCCCAGAGAGATCGCTTGCCATTGAGAGCGCTTTTTGGCTAAGCTTTCCCGCTGCTTGTCCAGTTAGGACCACCCTACCCGTTAGGGCTTTGGCTTGCAGGGTTGACAGGAGCTGAGTGACTGGTCTACCCTTCCAGGTCCTGCCGTTGAGCCAGGCTGGGCTGTCATCAGCAGCGAGTGCCCTAGAATACTACGGATCTGTCTGGCTCAGGAATTGGACTACCGAGACCGCCACAGAGGGCTGGCTTGATTCCGACATTCCGTTGCCAACCATGTTGCCTTGGAGCCAAGTGCAGTTCCAAGGAGATCTCAGTTACATGACTGTGACATCAGTGTCTTGACTTGGTCTTGAACCCACAGCCTTCTGACCTAGAAGCCAGAATACTGCCACCTGAGCCAAGCTGCCGGATAGCACCACCGGAGCTGTGACTCTGCTCCCGGTGAGATCTCGGACAGAGCAAACGTTGGTCAGGCCCCGAAAACCAGGTCTGCAAAATCTTGTTTAACAGCAACCACAGCACCAGTGATATTCTAACAGCAACTGGATCCAGTCGCCGTAGATAAACGTGGCAATAACGTAGCCTCTCCAGCACCGCTCATTCAGATTCCCGTCCTGCTCAGCGTGAAAGTGTTCAGCGCAACACAAAGTCACATCATACAAAGGTCAAAACAAAACTCACACAGCAGAGAAGAGGAGGGAATGTGCCACGTTCAAGCCAACAAGGTTTGAAAGACAATAAATGCATAAAAATTTTGAAGCTCGGTTACCATTAATTCATCAATCGGATAATTAATCCATTAATTAATTAATGCGTTTATTGTATCGCTATTAATTCATTCATCAATCAATTAATAGGCCGTGTTCAACAAAAGACACAGTCACTACATTCTACAGTAAATCCTGTCAAGCGCTTAGAGACGTTCTGACGGCACGACAGGGCTCGGTATCAAATGCAACATTATTTTAATAATACTACTAATAAAAACTCACTCACACAACTTTAATGTGAATATGCAGATTGCCAAAAAAAAAAGAAAGAGGCAAATCTTTAAAAAGGAGAGAGAGAGAGAGAGAGAGAAAGAGGGAGAAATATTAAGAGATTATTTTGGAAAATGAAAAGATCAGATCAGGCACAATAATCATCAATCAGCACATCTTGGCTCAGACTTGGTGTGTGTGTCTCTGTGTCGCTATCAGTGCCACTGACTGACTGATTGACTGACTGACACATTCCCGACTCTCTCTCATCGCAAACATCTCTCATCACATCCACACAGCGGTTCAGCAGCTGCTCAGGACGCAGAGCACACACACAGCACACGACTGAAATATTAAACATCACTGCCGCATTGACTGAGGCACCTTTTTCTGGCTGCAGAGAAGAAAGAAAGGAAGGAAGGAAGGAGAGAGAGAGAGAGACAATAAAATATTAACAGTTCAGCCAACACACCTGGTGCCAGCAAACCTGACACCTCCCTATCAATGTATCCCAGTCCTCTGCGAAAATATCAGTGTTGATTCAGAATATATTGAGGCAAAGAATAAAGACGATTTCTGTGGCGCACACACACACACACACACAACACAAACACAGACACACACACAACACAACACACACACACACACAACACAGACACACACACACACAACACAGACACACACACAACACAGACACACACACACACAACACACACACACACAACACACACACACACACAACACACAGACACACACACACAACACAGACACACACACACACACAACACAGACACACACACACACAACACAGACACACACACACAACACACACACACAACACACACACACACCAGAGACACACACAGCAGAGACACACACACAACACACACACACACAAAACACACACACCAGAGACACACACACACACAGCACACACACAACACAGAGACACACACCAAACACAGACACATACACACACACACCAGAGACACACACACACCAGAGATACACACACACCAGAGACACACACACACACCACACAAACACACACACAGACACATACACACACACAGACACACACACAGACACACATACACACACTGGACCGCGCAACGAGACGGTACCTGATAGCTGAGCGCACACTCGGATTCCGCGCTGCCCGCGGGCATAGCTCTGGTTGACGATGGATGGAGAGGCTGAGAATCCGCTATCTTTCCTCTTCGCAATCTGCGAACCCTCTGCCAGGAGGCAATCGGGGGCGGGGGCAGGGGCGGGGGGCAGGGGCGGGGGGCGGGGAGGGGCAGGGGCAAGGTCACCGGGAGCTGGTGGGGATGGGGCTGGTGGTGGGGATGGAGATGGTGGAGCTGGTGGAGGGCTGGAGATGGTGGAGGGATGGAGATGATGGAGATGGTGGAGGTGGTGGAGGTGATGGAGGTGGTTGTGGGGCTGAGGCGGGAGCGGCTCACAGCTGATCACAGACTCACAGCCAATCAGCGTCCAGCTTTGCGCCCTTTAAAGAGACCGTGTAACCGCAGAGAAGGAGGAAGTGGGTCATTGGCACCTGATTTGGGGATTCAAACAAACCCAATGGGGAGAAACACATAGGTACGAGTTCCCTCCCGCATCCTGACTGAGCTCGTTAACGCCTTCAATATATCTCACACCAACCCCCCCCCCCCCCCCCACCGCCCCTTCCTCCTCCTCTCCCTCCTCCTCTCCCTCCCTCCCCAAAGCGAGATGCCACTCATCCACAGACACCACTGCACCAGTCAAACCTCCCCTCACTCTGCTCGAAGGGGCACCAGTTTGTGTTCGTGCAAATCACTAACCCCTGTATCCGAGAGAGCTCCTGACCGCGGCTTCCAGACGTCTCAAAGTGCTTTCGCGGAATACACTGTAAAGTGACACTGTTGACAAAAGGTCTTCGACCCTGAAAACGTTAACCCATTTTCCTCTCTCCATAGATGCTGCCTGACCTGCTGCGTGTTCCCGGCCACTTCTGTTTTTATTTCAGAGTTCCAACAATGGCAGTATTTTGCCTTTTGTACACTGTAAAGTGAATTGACTGCGTATTTTGTGGGTGAAACACGGCAGCCAATTGCGCACAGCAGCGTCCCCACAAACAGCCGTGGATTAAGTGACCAAATTATTGTTTGCTCAAGGTTTTGTTGGCATGTGAATGAATGGTTATTGGAATGAATGGAGTGAAATATGTTGGATCACTGGTAAACTGAAAGGCTCGTACCATCTCTCCCCCCCCCCCCCCCCACAGGAGAGTCACCAGTCGGTCAGTGGACAAATGCAGGTTTAAACCCTCACTGTGTGGGTGGCAAAACTCAACATGAAACTGGTAAATAATAGCCACCTGACTGCTTACCTCTGCCACCAATCACACCAGGTACCAAGCCCTGTATTTATGAGTGCGTGTCCATGAACCCGGACTCACTCCAGATAATGCAGCAGCTGCCATCATCAGAGCCTCAGAGTTTCCTCGTCAGCTATTTGACCGACACGTGGCAGTTCTGGGGAGATTCTTTCAGGGTTACCATATCATTATTGCAGTACATTTCTGTGTAACGCTGCTTTTTCTGTTAAACGTATCAACTCGAGATTAGGTACTTAAACAGCGCATTCCATTTAACCTGACAAGTCCACATAAAATCAACTGCACGGCATTTTCTTTAAGTCACAAACAACAACAAATTACATTTGTATAAGGGCATTTCATGTCAGGAGGACGTCCCAAAGCGCTGGTCAGGGATCCGCACCTGAGCTGGTAGTTGGGATCAGGAGGGGTGGAGGGCGGTAGGGGTAGGAGGGTGAAGCAGGCCATGATGGTAGGGGGTTAGGAGGTGGCTGAGGTAGGGGAGAGCAAGACCATGGAGGGCTTTGAAAGTGAGGACCAGGATCTTGAACTGTATCCTCTGTGTGATGGGAAGCCGGTGGAGTCGGGCGAGGATGGGGGTGATGGGGTCACGGAGACTGGTGCGGGAGAGGACAAGGACTGCAGAGTTAGTTCTGGATGATCTGCAGTCTATGGAGGGAGGAGTTGGGGAGGACGACAAGCAGGGAGTTTGTATAGTCGAGCCTCGATGTTACGAATGCTCAAAACGGGTGTTTCGTGTCCGCAATGGAATTAGCACCAATGAGTGGAGGCGAGCAACATAGGAATAGGAGGAAGCCATTTCAGCCCCTCAAGCCTGTTCCGCCATTCTATTTGATCATGGATGATCTGTACCTCAACTCCAATCACATGCCTTTGCCACGTATCCCTTTGATATCCTAACAAAGATCTATCCACCTCGGTCTGGAAAATTTGAATGATCCAGCCATAATCCACAGCCTTTTGCAATGAGAGTGATCGCGAGGTTAGAGGGAGGAGCTGTGATCTCTCTACAGCGTGAGACAATTGGTCGCTCACGTCGCGGCTGATTGTGGGACCTCGCTGTGTGCAAAGAAACAGTCACTACACTTGAACCGTAGACTATTCTCGTGAAGCACTTTGAGACTTCAGGCACAAGGTCACACGCACTCAGAGATTGACGCTGATTATCTCTTCTGAATTTCTTTTTAAAAAGTTGCCAATAATCCCCAGAATCTGGGGAAGGACATAACGGATACACAGAAGTTGTTTTAAGTTGTATTATTCTCGTGGCTGAACAGTTTGTGCCAACAGAGCCGGTTGCAGGCAGATCGGGATCTTTATCAGTCAGCGCAGGGCAGAGCATGGAGTCAGGTTCTTCTCTCTGCCGTTGCTTAAATATACCCGTCAAAGTCTTGGGTCAGATGGCAAAAAGCTTTCCAAAGTCTAGTTTCTTTTCTTCAACAAAGGGGAGATTGGCTTAGCTGGAGGGGAGTGAGGGTTTCAAACTCTCTCTGCTGAAAGCGGTGGTTGAAGTAGACAGTGCAATAATAATAATAATCCTTGCATTTTACAAAGTGAATTTGTGTGCATTTTGTGTGCGAAACATGGCAGCCAATTGTGCACAGCACTGTCCCACAAACGGTCATAGAACCAAGAATTATACAGCACAGAAGGAGACCATTCGGCCCATCGTGTCTGTGATGGCTCTTTTAAAAGAGCTTCCAAATCACCCCCACTCTCTCCCCATAGCTCTGATCACCCCCACTCCCCCACTCTCTCCCCATAGCCCTGATCACCCCCACTACCCCACTCTCTCCCCATAGCCCTGATCAACCCCACTCCCCCGCTCTCTCCCCATAGCCCTGATCAACCCCACTCCCCCGCTCTCTCCCCATAGCCCTGATCAACCCCACTCCCCCACTCTCTCCCCATAGCCCTGATCAACCCCACTCACCCCCACTCTCCCCATAGCCCTGCAAACTTCGCACCCTCTCCAATGCCTTGACATCCTTCCTCAAGTGTGGGGCACAGAACTGAACCCAGTCTCGAGCTGAGGCCTAACCAGTGTTTCATATAAAGGTTCATCATAACTTCCTGACTTGTGTACTCTATGCCCCTATTTATAAAGCCCAGTATCCCATATGCTTTTTTAACAGCTTTATCTGCCTGTCCGGCCTCCTTCAAAGATTTACTGATATGACCCCCAGGTCTCTCTGTTCATTCACCCGCTTTAAGACTGTACCATCAGCGTATATTGCCTCTCCTCATTCTTCCTTCCAAAATACATCACTTCACATTTCTCCACATTAAACTTCATCTGCCCCGTGTCTGCCCATGTTACCAGTCTGTCTATGTCCATTTGCTGTCGGCTACTGTCCTCCTCACTGTTTACTACTTTTCCAGCTTAGTATCATCTGCAAACTTGGAAACTTCCCTATACCCAAGTCCAGGTCATTTATATAGATCAAAAACAGCAGTGGTCCCAACGCCCTCTGCCTCCACAAGAAGATTTCCTCTTTGGTCCCTAATTGACCCCAACCTACCTTTGACTAACCTTTTATTCATTATACGCTTATAAAATACCTTAGGATTCCCTTTTATGTTACCTGCTAATCTTTTCTCATATAATCTCTTTGCCTCTCTTATTTCCTTTTTCAGTTCTCCTCTGTACTTTCTATATTCTATTTGATTATCTTCTGTATTTTGGACCTGACATTTATCAGAAGTCTCCTTTTTCTGTTTTACTTTAATCCCAATTTCCTTTGTACTGGATTGAGTGACCAAATTCATAGAATCATAGAATGTTACGGCACAGAAGGAGGCCATTCGGCCCATCAAGTCTGTGCGGCTCTTTGACAGAGCGTCACTTTCACTGACCCCAATCACCATCTTTCTCCCCATAACCCTGCAAACCTGTCTTCCCCGATACCTGTCCAGTTCTCTCTTAAAAGCTGTTATCGAATCGGACTTCACTGCCCTTTCGGGCGGATCATTCCAAATTCTAACAACTCACTGAGTGAAAACATTTCTTCTAACCTCCTCACTGCTTCTTTTGGTAGATATCTTCAGACTGTGGCCACGGGTCACAGACACACCTACCAGCGGAAACAGTTTTTCCCTATCTCGCCTGTCGAAACCTTTCATGATTTTGAAGACCTCTATCAGGTCCCCACGTAACCTTCTCTGCTCTAATGGGAAAAGTCCTAACTTCTCCACTGTCCTCATAGCTAAGGTTCACCATTCCTGGTATCATTCTCGTGAATCTCCTCTGCACCCTTTCCAGTGCCTTAATGTCCTTCCTGAGGTACGGTGCCCAGAACTGGACGCAGTACTCCAGCTGAGGCCTAACCAGTGTTTTGTAGATTAACCATAACTCCTACTCTTATACTCTATGCCCTACTAATGAAGCTCAGTACACCAAATGCCTTTTTTCTGCCTTATCTACCTGCCCCACTACCTTTAATGATTCGCTTACTTGAACACCCAGATCTCTCTGTACGTTCACCCCCTTAAGATTGAGCTCCAAGTCTATATTGCCTCCTATCATTTTTCCTCCCTAAGTGTATCACCTCACACTTATCCACATTGAAACCCATCTGCCACATGTCAGCCCATTCCACCATTCTGTGTATGTCTGCCTGCAGTCCGTCACAATCTTCTTCACTATTTACTACCCGACCTAACTTGGTATCATCTGCAAACTTGGAAATAGTGCTCTCTATGCCCAAGTCCAGATCATTAATATATATTAGAAAGAGCAGTAGTCCCAATACCGATCCCTGGGGGACACCGCTGCAGATTATTATTGTTTTATTTATTTTTAGGGGATTGTGACAACCGGAAATGCAATCCACGAATTGATTAACAACGGGATCCCTACTTACTG